CTGGAAGGAGCCGGCCGGGGGGACCCCCCCCACACCCCGCTGTTCCCGGAGGGCCTGCAGAGCCTGCTAAGAGCGCCGCCTGTCCTGCAGGCCCCTTCTTCTTGGTGTTAAGTCAGAATCACACACACTCACAGCCCCGGGGGAGGCCGCCCATGTCCTACAGTCACCGTGTCACTGACCGGGGCAGATGTGTAAGGACAGGCGAATCGGCATTCATGTCCATTGTGAACTTGAAACAATCCCTGGCGTTTTCCTCATTTCAAAACACTGAACCGGAACCTTCCTCCCTCTGGAACTGAGGACACAGAAGCAGGAGCGGCAGCTGCCATTTCAGAGGGGCTGAGAGACAGGCCCCAGCCAGAGATGGACCTGCCGAGGTCCGTCTGGGGAGGCGTGCCAGAAATGCGAAAGTTGAAGAAGTGGCCTCTGGGGAGAAACCTCTCATCTGTGGAAAGCAGCAGGGAGGAAAAGGGAAAGGACCAGGCGAGTGAGTGTGTTGTTCCTCAGGAGGCTGCCACCACCACGGCCGGCCCGGCCTCTGCTTCCCCTGTGGCAGCCTGGCCTCTTAGGGTGCTCTCTGGGAGGCCGCCACTATCCCCAGCCTGCTCGCTCCCTGGTTCAAGTTCACTATTCTCTCTGAATGTCGGCCAGTCCCTCGTCAGCTCAGGAAGCAGGCCCCTCTCCGAGCCAGCAGCTGGTGCTGGGCGCTGAGCGGCTGTCCACGCTCCTTGGGCACTGGGGAGTTCAGAGAGTCCTCAAGGCTGGCCCCTGGAAGGCAAGGATGAGTAATAACCCTCCAGTGACCAGGCTCGGATTTCCTCCGCGCTCTGGTAACTGTCTGTGTTCTCTGGACACCCCCTTCCCTCCCCACACCCCTTCATTTTCTGGCTGTAGCATTTCCTGGCTTGACTTGGGGGAGAAGAGTGTAAGACTTCTCAGAACTGTTAGACAGGCAGTGAAGGCTGGCAAACCTAGGGCCCATCTGAGGTGGAAATGGGGGCGCACAGTCCCCGAGAAGCTTGTTCCGGGTTGAGGGTGTTAGGGAGGGCCCAGTCTGAGAACATGTCTGGGGAGGGGAGCAGGCCAGTCGTGCCCCCAGCTGCCCACCGGGCTTCCTTCCCAGAGAAGAGCTGAAACTAGCTTCCATTTTTCTCACCCCCATGAAGGAGAAGGCGGGAACCGAAAGGGAAGGGCATCAAAGACACACCTGAGGGGCCGCCCGGGGGATATGTCAGGGGCTCAGGGCCCCCAGACACCAGCAAGGACTTATGACAAAAGGCTTATGTCTGGGAGGAGCAAGGCCACCTCTGCAGTGTCCCCAACAAGCCTCTGGGTGCCAGGCGACGGTGCCGTCATTATCTGGTGGTGCGGCTGTGACACACCCTTGCCCACCTCCAGAGACTTGGCTGTCTCTCAGGAGACGGGGGTGGGGGTGGGGGTGGGGGGGGCCTTACCGGTGTAGGGAGGGACCCTGAGCTGCCTCAGCGGTTGTCCTGAGTCTCCTCCTCATGGGAGAAGGCGACCCGGCCCCCCTCCAGGCTCTGACTTGGCACTGGCCGCAGGTGTCTCGCTGCCCTTGAAGGCAGCCATGCTTTTACAGATACAAATGGCCTCTCCCCAGTCAGTTGTGAGAAAAGAGAGAGAAGGGAAGAAAAGGAAGTGGGCCCTCCCTGGTGGTGCAGCGGGTTAAAGCGCAGCACTGAGAAGCTAAAGCCACTTCAGCATGAGTCCGATCCCCGCCTGCCCCGGAGATGATAGACATGGCGCTGCAGACCTCTCCTGACCCGCCCGCTGCTCCCCTCAGCAGTGTGCTTTGTCAGTCGACCTGTTCTGCTCCCCACTCTGTCTCTGGGGAGTCCTCTCACCAGCCCCCCATACCTCTGGCCTGTACCCCAGTTCTGTATGCATAAATAAATAAATCTAAAAAAAAAAAAAAAAAGATCTCTGAGGCAGAAAGAGAAGGAACAAAGCACAAGGGAACCTGATGAGAATGACGAGCTGAGACAGTGCCTCTGGGCCCGCCTGTGCCCTGTGCTTTTTTTTTTTTTTTTAAAGATTTGTTTATTTATGCACACAACAACTGGGGTTCAGGCCAGAGTTGCAGGGAATGGTGAGAGGATTCTCTAGAGACAGAGTGGGGAGCAGAACAGACAGATGGAGTGGAGCACACTGCTGAGGGGAGCAGCGGGGAGACAGGAGAGGTCTGCTGCACATGTGTGTCAGCTCCCTGGCCTGGGATCGAACTCATGCCACAGTGGCTTGTGATTGCTCGATAGTACTGAAACTGAATTGAACCCCTGCACCACCAGAGAGGCCCATGTGTCATTTTATTTTTAGTTGCATTTCCCAAGAACCTCAGGACACTGTTAAGTGAGCGCTAACTGGACGGGGAACAAAGATGGCGCCCTGGCTCATGGGCAGAGCTCAGAGCTCTGCCAAAGAACGTCACGAGTGTGAGGTTCCAGTCCGAGGAGGCCAGAACCCCACTTCGTCTCTGGCTGCTCAGCTTCCAGAGTACTCATTCTGGAACAATCACTGTCTGACTAGTCCCGTCTGACTCATGGGGAAATAGTTGCGCGGTATTGAAGGATTCAGGCCATGTCACATCAGGCTTGGGGCTCAGCAGTTGGCTGCAAGTTGTCTGACCTGGACACTGTGGCGGGGAAGGCCTGCAGCCGACTCCTCACCACCTAGCACTGGCCTGTACACGCACTGCCTTCCAGCCCTGTTCAGCCCGCAGGGAAGCAAGCCTCCTCATCCCTTGGGTTTCCGCCTGCATCCCCAACCTTTGCGAGACCTCGGGCCAGCGCATGAGAACAGGACATGCCACGCACTCAGAGAGTGACCCCGTGACATCCAGAGTGGACTTGCCTCCCCCACCCCCCATCCAGTCCGTCATCCTGGCCTGTGAGTCTGCCGTGACAAGAGGAAGGAGTCATGGCAAAGAGTGTATGAGTTCTAGAAGGGCTTCAAGTGAAGCCAAGAATCTTTCAGATCCAGCATAACATTTTTTCTCCGTTTCATCTGCAGGGTGGACACTGAGTGTTTTTAAGACCCTGTCAAGCCAAAATCTGACAGATGGAAAAGAAAGAATGTTGTTGTGATGGCTTGTTCTGTTGTCATAACAAACCAGAGAAATATTTCCAGTATTCCCCTTCCTTCATGTGCCTGATCAGAAACATTTTCTTTTTTAGTTTATCAATTTCAATTTCCAAAGTCTGGACTAAATC